AGTCACCCACCTGCTCCACCACCACCACCACCTGCCCCACCATACAAGTAGTCACCCACCTGCTCCACCACCACCTCCACCACCTACACCACCACCACCATCACCACCACCACCACCACCTGCTCCACCCTACAAGTAGTCACCCACCTGCTCCACCACCACCACCTACACCACCACCACCATCACCACCACCACCTGCTCCACCCTACAAGTAGTCACCCACCTGCTCCACCATCACCACCTACACCACCACCACCATCACCACCACCACCTGCTCCATCCTACATAGTCACCCACCTGCTCCACCACCACCACCTACACCACCACCACCACCACCACCTGCTCCACCCTACAAGTAGTCACCCACCTGCTCCACCATCACCACCTACACCACCACCACCATCACCACCACCACCTGCTCCACCCTACAAGTAGTCACCCACCTGCTCCACCACCACCACCACCTGCTCCACCATACAAGTAGTCACCCACCTGCTCCACCACCACCTCCACCACCTACACCACCACCACCATCACCACCACCACCTGCTCCATCCTACAAGTAGTCACCCACCTGCTCCACCACCACCACCTACACCACCACCACCACCTGCTCCACCCTACAAGTAGTCACCCACCTGCTCCACCATCACCACCTACACCACCACCACCATCACCACCACCACCTGCTCCACCTACAAGTAGTCACCCACCTGCTCCACCTTCTTCCACCTCTCCTCGTCCTCCCAGCGCGATGTCGCCACGCGGAGCGGAAGCAGCCGCCGCGGCGGTGACGAGATTCACTCGTGCAACGCTTTTTAAAATGTTCAAGAGACTGGCAAATCTCCCACATGTACTACAACTACAACGACAATTATTATATAACTACTACTACAACAACAACACGAATTATAACGATTCTAGCAACTATAATAACAGTAATAGCGATAAGAACTAAAATGTAAAACTTCTAATTCTGACTCCAACACGCGCCACATTTCGTACATGTCGCTCCCGGCAGCGACAATTTAAACCGTGAGGGGGGGGGAGGGGGAGACGGAAGTGACGTCACAGCACGAGACCACTCGGCGGCCATGTTGGGTAGGGAGACGGCCATGTTGGGTAGGGGAGCGGCCCTGTTGGAAAGGGAGGTGGGCATGTTGGGGAGGGGAAACGGCCATGTTGGGTAGGGAAACGGCCATGTTGGGTAGGGGATAGCGGGCATGTTGGGTAGGGAAACGGGCATGTTGGGTAGGGAAACGGGCATGTTGGGTAGGGGATAGCGGGCATGTTGGGGAGGGGAACGGCCATGTTGGGTAGGAGGGCGGGCATGTTGGGGAGGGAACGGCCATGTTGGGTAGGAGGGCGGGCATGTTGGGAGGGGAACGGCCATGTTGGGTATGAGGGCGGGCATGTTGGGGAGGGGAACGGCCATTTTGGGTAGGAGGGCGGGCATGTTGGGGAGGGGAACGGCCATGTTGGGTAGGGGGGCGAGCATGTTGGGGAGGGGAACGGCCATGTTGGGTAGGAGGGCGGGCATGTTGGGGAGGGGAACGGCCATGTTGGGTAGGGGGGCGAGCATGTTGGGGAGGGGAACGGCCATGTTGGGTAGGAGGGCGGGCATGTTGGGGAGGGGAACGGCCCATGTTGGGTAGGGGGGCGAGCATGTTGGGGAGGGGAACGGCCATGTTGGGTAGGAGGGCGAGCATGTTGGGGAGGGGAACGGCCATGTTGGGTAGGAGGGCGGGCATGTTGGGGAGGGGAACGGCCATGCTGGGTAGGGGGGCGAGCATGTTGGGGAGGGGAACGGCCATGTTGGGTAGGGGGGTGCGAGCATGTTGGGGATGGGGAACGGCCATGTTGGGTAGGAGGGCGGGCATGTTGGGGAGGGGAACGGCCATGTTGGGTAGGGGGGCGAGCATGTTGGGGAGGGGAACGGCCATGTTGGGTAGGAGGGCGGGCATGTTGGGGAGGGAACGGCCATGTTGGGTAGGGGATGGCGGGCATGTTGGGTAGGGGATGGCGGGCATGTTGGGGAGGGGAACGGCCATGTTGGGTAGAGGGCGGGCATGTTGGGGAGAGGAAACGGCCATGTTGGTAGGAGGGCGGGCATGTTGGGGAGGGGAACGGCCCATGTTGGGTAGGAGGGCGAGGCATGTTGGGGAGAGGAAACGGCCATGTTGGGTAGGAGGGCGGGCATGTTGGGGAGGAGAACGGCCATGTTGGTAGGGGGGCGGCATGTTGGGGAGGGAAACGGCCATGTTGGGTAGGGGGGCGGGCATGTTGGGGGGGGGGGGGGGCGGGCATGTTGGGTAGGAGGGCGGGCATGTTGGGGAGGGGAACGACCATGTTGGAAAAAGAACGGCCCTGTTGGGGTAGGGAAGCGTGGCATGTTGGAAAGGGAGGCGGGCATGTTGGGTAGGGGATGACGGGCATGTTGGGGAGGGAACGGCCATGTTGGGTAGGGAGCGGCCATGTTGGGTAGGGAAGCGGGCATGTTGGGTAGGGGATGACGGGCATGTTGGGGAGGGAACGGCCATGTGGGTAGGGAGCGGCCATGTTGGGTAGGGATAGTTTACAGCGGGCATGTTGGGTAGGGGATGACGGGCATGTTGGGGAGGGAACGGCCATGTTGGGTAGGGGGGCGGGCATGTTGGGGAGGGAACGGCCATGTTGGGTAGGGGGGCGGGCATGTTGGGGGAACGGCCATGTTGGGTAGGGGGGCGGGCATGTTGGGTAGGGGATGACGGGCAATGTTGGGTAGGGGCGCGGGCATGTTGGGGAGGGAACGGCCATGTTGGGTAGAGGGGCGGGCATGTTGGGGAGGGAACGGCCATGTTGGGTAGGGGGGCGGGCATGTTGGGTAGGGGATGACGGGCATGTTGGGTAGGGGCGCGGGCATGTTGGGAGGGAACGGCCATGTTGGGTAGGGGGGCGGGCATGTTGGAAAGGGAACGGCCATGTTGGGTAGGGGGGCGGGAATGTTGGGGGGGGGGGACGGCCATGTTGGGTGGGGGGAGGGGGGGCGGACGACAGCAATGTTGGGTGAGGGGCGGCGGCCATGTTGGGTGAGGGGTGGCGGCCATGTTTAATGGGGCCGGAGACCATTTTTTATGGTGGGCAGCCATGTTGGATATGGGCGGCGGCGGACATATTGGATGAGGCGACTGCCATGTTGGGTGGGGAAGGGTTACCATGTTGGATGGGGCAGCAGCAGCGACCCTCCCCCCCATTGGTTAAATAGAGGAGGTGGGTGCGGAGGATGAGTTCCCTACGTAATATGGCCGCCCAAGGTTGTTGATTCCCCTACGTAAGATGGCCGCCCAAGGGTGTTGATTTTTTCCTACGTAAGATGGCCGCCCAAGGTGTTTGTTCCCCTACGTAAGATGGCCGCCCAAGGGTGTTGATTCCCCTACGTAAGATGGCCGCCCAAGGGTGTTGATTCCCCTACGTAAGATGGCCGCCCAAGGTTGTTGATTCCCCTACGTAAGATGACCGCCCAATGGTGTTGATTTTTCCTACGTAAGATGGCCGCCCAAGGGTGTTGATTCCCCTACGTAAGATGGCCGCCCAAGGTTGTTAATTTTCCTACGTAAGATGGCCGCCCAAGGGTTTGGAATTGTCTTCCAAAAGATTCTTCCGGAAGATGCTTTCCCTCATTGGTTTCCATGGGAACTGTCTTCCGGAAGATTCTTCCGGAAGATGCTTTCCCTCATTGGTTTCTATGGGAACTGTCTTCCGGAAGATTCTTCCGGAAGATGCTTTCCCTCATTTGTTTGTATTAGTTTGTATTTGCCGCTCACCGTGCTGAATCTATCTTCCGATATTGGTAGAGTCTTCCTCTTCCGGAAGATACTATCCAACCCGTTCGTTTGCATTGGCCGTTCATCTTCCGGAAGATTTCCTCCGACACCCCATCTTCCGCTTCCGGAAGAAGAAGACCACGCCCCCCCTTGTCACCATGGAGACGGCGATGGCGTCTAAGACGACGGCAATGGCGGCGGTGGACGAGAAGGTGGAGATGGGGATGAGTGGAGAAGGTGGAGGAGGTGGAGGAGGTGGAGGTGGTGGAGGTGGTGGAGGAGGAGGGGAGGAGGTGGTGGGGATGAGGGGGGAGGAGGCGGAGGAGTTCTCAGAGCTATGAAGAGTTCCTGGACTCGCACATCAACGCACGAGATCTCTACTACCTTGAGGTGTGAGGGACTCACTCAGTCAGAGACTCACTCACTCAGTCACTCACTCACTCAGTCACTCACTCACTCAGAGACTCACTCAGAGACTCACTCAGTCAGTCACTCACTCAGTCAGTCACTCACTCAGAGACTCACTCAGAGACTCACTCACTCAGTCACTCACTCACTCAGTCACTCACTCACTCAGAGACTCACTCAGAGACTCACTCAGAGACTCACTCAGAGACTCACTCAGTCACTCACTCAGAGACTCACTCAGTCACTCACTCAGAGACTCACTCAGTCACTCACTCAGTCACTCACTCAGTTACTCACTCACTCAGAGACTCACTCAGAGACTCACTAAGTCAGTCACTCACTCAGTCACTCACTCAGTCACTCACTCACTCAGAGACTCACTCAGAGACTCACTCAGTCAGTCACTCACTCAGTCACTCACTCAGTCACTCAGTCAGTCACTCACTCAGTCACTCACTCACTCAGAGACTCACTCAGAGACTCACTCAGTCAGTCACTCACTCAGTCACTCACTCAGTCACTCACTCACTCAGAGGACTCACTCAGAGACTCACTCAGTCAGTCATCTCACTCAGTCACTCACTCAGTCACTCAGTCAGTCACTCACCAGTCACTCACTCACCTCACTCAGAGACTCACTCAGAGACTCACTCAGTCAGTCACTCACTCAGTCACTCACTCAGTCACTCACTCACTCAGAGACTCACTCAGAGACTCACTCACTCAGAGACTCAGTCACTCACTCACTCAGTCACTCACTCAGTCACTCACTCAGTCACTCACTCACTCAGAGACTCACTCAGAGACTCACTCAGAGACTCACTCACTCAGAAGACTCACTCCGAGGACTCACTTCACTCAGAGACTCACTCAGAGACTCACTCAGAGACTCACTCAGAGTACTCACTCAGAGACTCACTCACTCAGAGACTCACTCACTCACTCAGAGACTCACTCAGAGACTCACTCACTCAGAGACTCACTCACTCAGAGACTCACTCACTCACTCAGAGACTCACTCACTCAGAGACTCACTCAGAGACTCACTCACTCACTCAGAGACTCACTCAGAGACTCACTCACTCAGAGACTCACTCACTCAGAGACTCACTCAGAGACTCATTCACTCAAGAGACTCACTCACTCAGAGACTCCTCAGAGAATCACTCAGAGGCTCACTCAGAGACTCACTCACTCAGAGACTCACTCACTCAGAGACTCACTCAGAGACTCACTCAGAGAACTCACTCACTCAGAGACTCACTCACTCAGAGACTCACTCAGAGACTCACTCACTCAATCAGAGACTCAATCATAAACTCACTCCACCAGAGACTCACCCTCAGAGACTCACTCAGAGACTCACTCAGAGACTCACTCACTCACTCAGAGACTCACTCACTCAGAGACTCACTCAGAGACTCACTCAGAGACTCACTCAGAGACTCACTCACTCACTCAGAGACTCACTCAGAGACTCACTCACTCAGAGACTCACTCACTCAGAGACACACTCACTCAGAGACTCACTCAGAGACTCACTCAGAGACTCACTCACTCAGAGACTCACTCACTCAGAGACTCACTCACTCACTCAGAGACTCACTCACTCAGACACTCACTCACTCACTCAGAGACTCACTCACTCAGAGACTCACTCACTCAGAGACTCACTCACTCAGAGACTCACTCAGAGACTCACTCAGACACTCACTCAGAGACTCACTCAGAGACTCACTCACTCAGAGACTCACTCAGAGACTCACTCAGAGACTCACTCAGAGACTCACTCACTCAGAGACTCACTCAGAGACTCACTCAGACACTCACTCAGAGACTCACTCACTCAGAGACTCACTCACTCAGAGACTCACTCAGAGACTCACTCAGACACTCACTCAGAGACTCACTCACTCAGAGACTCACTCACTCAGAGACTCACTCAGAGACTCACTCACTCAGACACTCACTCAGAGACTCACTCAGAGACTCACTCACTCAGAGACTCACTCAGACACTCACTCACTCAGAGACTCACTCAGAGACTCATTCACTCAGAGACTCACTCAGAGACTCACTCACTCACTCAGAGACTCACTCACTCAGAGACTCACTCAGAGACTCACTCACTCACTCAGAGACTCACTCACTCAGAGACTCACTCACTCAGAGACTCACTCAGAGACTCACTCAGAGACTCACTCACTCAGAGACTCACTCACTCAGAGACTCACTCAGACACTCACTCAGAGACTCACTCACTCAGAGACTCACTCACTCAGAGACTCACTCACTCAGAGACTCACTCAGAGACTCACTCAGACACTCACTCAGAGCCTCACGTCACATCAAGGACTCCACTCATCTCCAGAGACTCACCACTCAGAGACTCACTCAAGACGACTCACTCAGAAGGACTCCACTCAGGACACCATCTCAGAGACTCACTCATCAAGACTCACTCCCTCAGAGGACTCACCCTCACGAGACTCACTCCAGGAGACTCACCTCAGGACACTCACTCAGAGACTCACCACTCAGAGGACTCACTCACTAGCAGAACTCACTCAATCAGAGTCTCAACTCAGAGTCTCACTCACTCAGACACTCACTCACTCAGGAGACTCACTCAGAAGACGGAATCACTCACTCAGAGACTCACTCAGACCTCACTCACTCAGAGACTCACTCAGAGACTCATTCATCCAGAGACTCACTCAGAGACTCACCACTCACTCAGAGACTCACCTCACTCAGAGACTCATCAGAGACTCACTCACTCACTCAGAGACTCACTCACTCAGGAGGACTCACTCACTCAGGACACTCACTCAGAGTCTCACTCAGACACTCACTCAGAGACTCACTCAGAGACTCACTCACTCAGAGACTCACTCAGACACTCACTCACTCAGAGACTCACTCAGAGACTCATTCACTCAGAGACTCACTCAGAGACTCACTCACTCACTCAGAGACTCACTCACTCAGAGACTCACTCAGAGACTCACTCACTCACTCAGAGACTCACTCACTCAGAGACTCACTCACTCAGACACTCACTCAGAGACTCACTCAGACACTCACTCAGAGACTCACTCAGAGACTCACTCACTCAGAGACTCACTCAGACACTCACTCAGACACTCACTCACTCAGACACTCACTCAGAGACTCACTCAGACACTCACTCAGAAACTCACTCAGAGACTCACTCACTCAGAGACTCACTCAGACACTCACTCAGACACTCACTCACTCAGACACTCACTCACTACTGATGATGATAATGAGTAAGCTGTCACCAGGACGAGGACGTGGTCCGTGCCGTGTTGGCGCTGGGTTACCGCAGCAGCGGCGAGGAGATCTTGACTCACTCAGAGACTCACTCACTCAGAGACTCACTCACTCAGACACTCAGAGACTCACTCACTCAGAGACTCACTCACTCAGAGACTCACTCACTCAGAGACTCACTCACTCACCACCACTACTGATGATGATAATGAGTAAGCTGTCTCTAGGATGAAGACGTGGTCCGTGCCGTGTTGGCGCTGGGTTACCGCAGCAGCGGCGAGGAGATCTTGACTCACTCAGAGACTCACTCACTCACTCAGAGACTCACTCACTCACTCAGAGACTCACTCACTCAGAGACTCACTCAGAGACTCACTCACTCAGAGACTCACTCACTCAGAGACTCACTCAGAGACTCACTCACTCAGAGACTCACTCACTCAGAGACTCAGTCAGAGACTCACTCAGAGACTCACTCACTCAGTCACTCACTCACTCAGAGACTCACTCACTCACTCAGAGACTCACTCACTCACCACCACTACTGATGATGATGAGTAAGCTGTCACCAGGCGAGGACGTGGTCCGTGCCGTGTTGGCGCTGGGTTACCGCAGCAGCGGCGAGGAGATCTTGACTCACTCAGAGACTCACTC